CTGGCTAGTCGCAAGTCAGGGACCGATCTGGTACGACTAGGATGAAGACTGGGCCTGTGGGCTGAGGGTCTGCACTCGGGCTCAAGGTGGACTAGTGATTCGCAAGTTGGAGGACCGATCTGGCACGACTCAGATAAAGACTAGCTAGTCGTAAGTCGGGAACCGAACTAGTGCGACTAGGATGAAGACTAGGCCTGTGGGCCGAGGATCTGCACTCGGGCTCAGGCTGGACTGGCGAGTCACAAGTCGGAGGACCGATCTAGCATGACTCGGGTAAAGACTAGCTAGTCATAAGTCGGGGATCGATCTAGCTCTATTAAGATAAAGACCAAGGGGTGTCGTTAGGCAGCACATTTAGGTTTGCCCGGGTGCCATCGCGCCACGTGGTGTGCATGGTGGAGCGGTGCGCTGGGGTTTGCCTGGGTGCCATCGCGCAATGTGGCGTGCCTGGTGGAGCGGTTCAGGGCCTGGCGGGAAACTTCTTGTTATGAATGGCTTTTGATGGGAGATCTCGGATGACGAGGCGCCTCTGGCGAGGGCTCCGAGACCGACGAATTTGGAGAATCCGAGGAGTTATGATGGTTTTAAATGCTGTGGCCATCTCTCTCCTTGGGAAGCCCAATCATCATCTCGCGGCGGAGTAGTCTACTCTTTATAAGCTTCTCCTAGAGTCGTTGCCATCACTTTTGCTCGGTCCTTCGTTCTGCACCCCGGCTTCTTCCTTCCAACCTTGAGGTCGGGATGTCTCCATCTTCATCTTCATCTTCTTCTCCCTTGTCTTCTTTCTTGTCTTTCTCTTCTTTGTCTTCTTCTTCTGGGGGCCTGCGAGCTGAAGTCGTTAGCGTGTCTTCGGGCGGCGCACTGTTGGAGGTCACAAGGAGCCCTGCTGCGCTTGAAACTCTCAAGTCGTGGCATGATGTGGGCTCGGTGGTGATCGAAGACTTTTTTAGGGTACTTCGGGATCGCTATCGCATCCCGGAGTGTTATGGCGTTCACGCCCCTCGGCTTCGTCAACGGTCATACGACCAGTTTCTCGACGGGTTCGGGCTGACCGTGGGGGCCCTCGAGGCGGGACTGCGGTTCCTGCTATATCCCGTTATCGGGGAGTGCCTTCATAAGTGGGGCATATCGCCGTCCCAAATGGCGCCAAACTCTTGGCGCTATCTGGTGGCTTTTATTAGGGAGTGTCGGGGGGCCAAGATCGAGCCGACCAGGACCCTCTTCCTAGCCTGCTTCCGTCTATGTAAGGGGTGAGGCGAGTATTACCTGACCGCCCACAGCAGTTTTAAGATCAGCGGCGCTCCTTCCAATAACAAAGGTTGGAAGAGCCACTTCTTTTTTATCAGTTGTAGCCGAGGGTGAGGCTTTAGTACTGGATGGACTTCCCGAACCATCGACAACACCCCCTCATTGCTTTCTGTTGGAGAAACAGCGGACGTGAATTGACTAAGAGGCATCTTGTCCTCTTCTTGGGCAATCAGGGAGATGACCGAGGAGTGGCTAGTCGAAGCGAGACTGAGCCCAGCAATTGGGGGTATGGTCATTCGTATATTATGGATCGTTCGCTCATCCTGAGCTAGCTGACCAATTGGGCTTTTCCTTGTAGAGATAGTGGATCTTCAGTCTGTGAAGAGGACGCCTCACGCCAAGGCCGCCGCGCCACCTTCTCAGGGTGGCGAGGGTCCGGAGCTCGGGGTGCCTCGCAGAAGGGCACACCGAGGAGGGCGTCGAGGTCCCCAGAGGCGAGTCATCCTTAGAAGAAGGCAAAGACCACGGTCCAGAAGATGTCTGCGAG